TGTTCGTCATCAAATGGCTGGCATGTTATGTGTTAATATCCAGAATTTAAATTTCAACGTTTGGTACTCTTCAAGAAATACAACATACTTAAAGCAAAATTGGTTAAAGTGCTATTTAATTATTTTTGTTACGATACGATTACATATAATTGTACTGTAATTTTATAATAACTACGCAGTAATTGGATAGTTATTACACACTTTTAAGATTTACCATTAAGATTATACTTCAATTAAACGATAATTATCGTCCGACTGCAGTGTTATTAGAATGTGATCACATGTAATCGTATCGTGACAAAGCTAATCAAATATTTAACTTTTACCAAACAAACTTTATCGAATATCAACATGTATATAATTTTTCTTGTTTTATTATAACAATTTTTTACAATTACAATATTTTTTGAATTTCCTCTACATTCTGTTTTCATTTTTGAGGAAACTATTCTTCGCCTTACATTTTTATTTAACATAATTATATTCACCAATATTCAACAACAATTGCAGTAGAAGTACGGTAAAAGGGTGAAGTTTAATAAATTGCAAAGTTATTTGTCGCGGATAAAATTGTTCAAGTACCCTATATTTATCTCATAAACAGTACTGACAGTTTTTACAAACAGAAACTAAAATTGTTTGATAGCAAGAGGGTTAAGAAAATAAGAGAACCGGAGCACGCAGAGACAACGTGTGCTCTGTTCGTTTGTACTCACGCTTCCGCACGTTTCTTCGTCGAGCCCCGTACACGTTTAAACATCCCAGGCATTTCTATTATTCCTCGACAGCAGTTTTGAACCCGTAGTTTCACCTCGTTTAAAGTAACAACTGGTGTGTTGTACATCGTGGTCTTTAACCTTTAATAGCCACTTATATGCACAATTTACACGTTTCGAGTCACGACTTTACTAAATTGAAGAGATTATAATGTAGGAATGTAAAGTACAGAAAATAAAATTTTAAATTCAATTACAAGTAATTTTTCAAACTCGTACTATTTAATTTTGTTCAAAAGAGTAGATTCGTTTTACAAATACCGCCTGAATGTGAAAACGCGTCGATTTTAATATACTAGACTTCACGACTAGTGTAGTAGCCTTGTGATTGTGAAATTTGGCATGCAGAGCTCACGAGTTAGGCTCAGACTCGTCATCGTGTGGCAAGCGGTTGAACGCTCCAAGTTTAAAAAACGTGGAAAACCATAAGGTTTCTCGGTGTACAGTTCAACGCGTTGCGGTTCTCCTCGATAACACAACGGCTCAAGGCGTACGCTCGCGCCATTAAGACAGATACCGTTCACTCGCGCAACGCGAAACACGTAATTGAGCGAAAGTTTAGCTTTGCTGCTCTTCGTCAGCCGGAACGGAAGTGTCGTGGCGCCGTTTAGAAGCTTCTCATTAGCCCCTGCCATCGCATTCCCAAGTCCAGCGTCTAGTTAAACCTGTCATAAGTTTCGTTGCACCAGTACTCGGCTCTTCTATCGTCAGAAGTATCGCAAACAAATTAGAAACGTAATTAATTATTAACAAAACAGTGGTATTATTAAGGGTGAATCGTCGTAAACTCTTAAAAAAATGTATTTATTTCGCACTTTCTGCGCTCGCCAACAGAGGGCTACGCTCAACCTGTACTTCTCTCACAAGTGCTCGACTGACGCAAGTTCATAGATACACTTACGCTTGTATAGAGAATATTTAAATACAATTTGATCGATTATCATCGAATACAAATAATATTGAGGCCTCACTGGAACATTTCATTTTACCTAAATAATTGTATTCCTGACAAGACTGACGAAAGTTTATACCTACACTTATGCTTGTCTAGAGAATATTTAAGTACAATTAGATCACAAATAATGTTGAGGCCTTACTAGAACATTTCATTGTACCTAAATAATTATGTTCCTGACAAGACTGGCTAGTTTTTCATCGCGTACGCGTGTCTTCTCGAAGCTCGCTCGATTAAGATTGATCGCCCCCCATAGTGACGAGACTAAACGTTCGCGCCGACACGAGCGACAAAAAACGATGGACAAGTAACGGAGAGGTTTGTCGCGCGTGCTTGTTAATCAGTATCCTTGAAGAATTCTCGAAGCTCGGTTCCATTGTCCCGTTGAAAAAGGGACTTGGGAGTAGGACAAATGCTGTCCTTTGGTGGCGCGCGGAACCGTGTTGAAACTCTACCCTTTGTTCGCGAACGAGCGTGGACGGGATCTGGGAATCCTCGATAATAATCCCGGAAAAGAATTCCCTTAAAGCTGCGTATCCGATTCCAGGAGCCGTCTCTGTTTTCTTCCGTGCCTGGTAATCGGATCGCATCGTCCTCGTAGAAAGCGCCGCGCGCCGTCCTTGCACTTGGTACGCTGAAATTTATACGGCTTTCATTCCTTTGCTACTTTAAAGTAGGTTCGGTATTTCACTCGTGCCCGATTCCCTCCTTTCCACTCTCTTTCTCGCCGTTTGTCGTTTTCTCCGCCTGTTTCGCTCTTCCTCGACTTCATACTGCGCTTCATCAGGGTCGAGCCAATGATCCGTGGCATTCGCTACCCATAAATGCTTATGGATCATTACACGCCAAATTGATCACCTTTCACCATCGATGCCGGGAATTTTGTTGAAATTGAAGTACGATGTAGATCGTGTAAAATTAAGAGGGGGTTGTGTTATCATTTTGCTGGTTTCGAAATTGGCTAGTAAATACAGCCACCTCAACACCAATCTGTCAGTTCTGAAAATGTTACCGTTGTCTCAAGCTTAACAGTTTTCGCTTATAATTCAAAACTAACTAGGTTGTTGCTTAAGTTTTGTTTGCCACTTTGTTCGTATAAACTTTCTGTCGGTATCATTGTTTTTGCAGTGACACTAGAGCTTAAAGAAGGCTGGAATAAAATATTTTCATTGATCTTTCAGAAGTGTTTTCATGGAAACAGAAAATGTAGCAAATCATTACGTTTTATAGTTTTGTAGGTAAGCATTGTAAATTTAATTAGAAACCAACAAAACGGTGACTCAAGCCTCTAATTTTACATAGATTACATTGTGTTTAAATCTTAACAAAATCCCTAACGTAAAAAGCAATTTGCAAAACGAATAAATACAGTCACATTAAATACTTAATTGTATTACATTATCTGATACTATTGTAGTCACTTCTCGTTCGGCCTGTAATGCATTACTTTTAGATTGGAACGTTCGTTTAAGTCTCCTTTCACTGAATATATCTTCAACTATGTAAGGAACTCATTCCGCGAGGTGTCAATTGTAATAGAGGCATTGAAATAGTTGAAGGCACTGACTGATGGTAACGATAAAAAAAGAAATCAGATTTCTTTTCTAAACACGTACAGAAGTTCACGATCTATTCCGAAGTTCTCCGGAGTACGTCACAGTGATTGACAGCGGCCCAATGACAGTCATGGTCCAAGTTCATTTCTTCCTTTATTATGAAAATGACATTGTATATTGTAGAAGGATATTAGAAACTGATGTAGTTTGAGCATTGAAATTTCCCACGCTGTATATAATGAACCTTGCACGGCGATCTTCATACCGAGAGATTAAAATCACTTTTCTTGAAATTCCTAACATAATTCCTTAAGTTTCGCTCATTGCTGCGGCAACGTCCATAACTTTCACACGTTTGTTGAACTCGTAAATCATTGCACGGTTTGCTTGCTCTTCATCTGTAAGTTTCTTTTCCATCTTGTTCAATTGGATACACATCACTTGCAATTTAAAGAAATTAATAACTGAGTGTATGCGTAACGTTAGTAACTACTTCAACAGAAGCTTATCGTCATAATTCATTTTGAAACAACTGTAAAGATTATTTGTACAAAATTTTAATAATTCGTTGTAATTTATGCAAGCTTAATATCAATTAATCGTGATTGTAGAAAATGGTATAACTTTTATTTCAGCAATTTTTCAAATATCTTTTGACATTTACGATTTATAAACGTTTAAATAGAAGAGACGGCTCAAATAACACAGTTGCTTTCGTCCTTAATGTGAAAAAGTAGGACAATCCAACTGTAGCTGAATTCTTAGGATCAACGAACAACATTTCTGCAACGTTTCGTAAAAATCGGTTTGTATAGGTCACTTATTAGGAATTCCTTATTAGGCAAGATTTACCCTATACGGATTAAACGGTCTTTTAATTGCATTTATCCCATCCTGGCGACTTATCGTCGCTAACAATTTCATTTTCACGCACTTTGACAATTTTTACCTGGCCACGCACTGGGGTTTCACAAGTTCCGCCTAATGTATGCAATTTCACCGCGAGAACAATTACACGATCTAACCGCGGACGTGAATGTATTACACTCGCGGATGCTCCCCGTGCTTTCTCTTTAACTTGAACTTAATTACACGGTGAACGTAGCCTCGCTTCCCTCTCAATGAGAGCGCTGTTACGCTTGGAACGTGGGTTACATCGTTTTCTAACCGACTACAGTCTAACCGGTACCGTAAACAGAGAATCCCCCTAACCTCGCCGATCGCGAACCTAAGTACATGACGCAGTCATACGCATTTTGTACAAATGATGTGAAACAAATAACAAATTTTTACGATTCTGGCTGTATTCGAATCTATTCGATTTATTCAAACTAGGGGTATGCTAGTAGATCTTTATCGAGATAAAGAAGGTTCCACTGTAATTAGAAATTGACCATCAATTTTTAATTGCACGTAATAATGGATGATCACGTATGGAGTATAATTGTATTTTGTTTGATACCGATTCATAGCAGCGTGAGCCGTGGCTCGTTTGAATCTTCATCGTTACGCTTTGGTGCGCCTTTTAAGAGAACCACGGCGTTGCGTTTAGCCGCGTGTATCGGACGCGCGTTGCATCCAGTTCAGTCCGCGAAGATGCAATGTCACGGTGCAGCGGCCTCAGCGATTGTCAGTCGAACACTCACCGTAAATAATTTCAGACATGCGCGAGGCTAAGCCGTGACCCGGGACGAAGAAGAAGAGGACCTGAACATGACACGATCAGGGAGGATGCTTTCGGATTCGCCGCTGATCCTGGCCGCGACGACGTTGCTGTTGCTCGTTACTAGTCTCGATCGCGTGACAGGTACGTCCACCATTTAAAAGTTTGGATGATTATATAAATACCAGCAACCTCTAAATTTCAATAATTTTTAGATAGGTAGTACGTTCCACAATACTTCGCTGTCTCGAATATAGTGAAATTACATGCATTTTTAAATTCTCAAAAATAATAATCTTATTCTTTTATCAAACGCACATATAACACAAGTGATCAAATGAAGGTAGTAGTATAGTGTATGTGTGTCTGCTTCAAAGCGAATGAGCAAACAGCGTTGTTTGTCGTTGCTGCTCCGGGCGCCAAAATACCTAAGCACGGCCTTGCGCGTATCACAACATGACCTAGAACTGACCTTGAGTGTCGATACCACATTGTTTGTCGGACAATTAACAATACATCTTGTAAAAGGCAGTTTAGTCGTATGATTATTTAAAATTTCGCTTCGAATATCGCTTGGAAATACTGAAATGATAAATACACAATATCATTACTATCTTCAAATTCACTTGTTGCAAACACCCCTTCCACTGGTTCACACCGTACAATGAACGAAGATCTTATGCAATAATCGAGGTTCCACTGTACTCGTTATTAGACTCGACCTAGTATCCATTTAACCAACATGATACAATATTATTTAAATATTATGAAAATATTAGATTAATTTTATAATAATTATAAACAGTCTCGTGTCTCCTACTTTTGTTTTCTCGTTTTAAGTTTATTTGATTAATAATATAGATAATTATATACTGAAATGGGTTGCGAGTTTATCTGAAAATATCATATGCAGCTTGTAAATATTACTACTATGCCAAACGTATATATACAGGCAAGCTGCCGTTCCAATTATTATTAATAAAAGTGTAAAAATAAATCGCCACGAGGATGCTTAATCACCAACAAACATCTCGCTTTAGCGAAATGAGTTTAACGTACCAATAAAATTTGATTAAAGCAACTGAAATTGGAACGTTTGGTATTAAACAAGTTTCGACGAGTGTGGTTTACTAATTTATTGTCGATCACGTGAAGGGTACACGGTACACTCGACGAGCTTTTTAGTTTAATGAAATGGATTTAATCCTGTGATCGAGCAAAATGATTTTACTCGTCATTTGCAAATATTTGGAGAGTTCTAATTGTATCGGAATAATACTTCGTTGATGCTTTCACATCGAATTTCCTGCTTTTTCTCGTTTCAGTACAGCGAACATTGTACATTCTTTTAAAAATTAATTAAACGGACGATAAAATAAAATATCAATGAAACTCGTGCGTTGAGAAATTTGGAAACCCTTAAAGAAGCAATTTGTTAATTCGACTATAAATGAATCTTGCGCTCTTGGATAAAGTTAAAGTCTTTGTTAAAATCAAAATGGAGTGGTAGAAAATTCCGTATACTTCAATGCGAGTTTGTATTTTATATTATATAATTGCTTGACCCAAAATCTTAGACATAAAACGCTTAAAGAAATATATCGATTAAATTATGCTTGTTGTTGCTAGATTCTTTACGAACGTTATTTGAATGCTCTGCATACTTCGTGTATTAAAACGCATAAAATATTGTAGACTCTAATGCCGCAATAAGGACGCATGAAATGGCAGACACCGGTCTGCGTCGTTTCTGCCACGTGATATTTAATTCAACGGATTTCCTGTACCATTTCTTCGACATATGTGATTTCGTTCACGGCGATCGAATTCCATTGACACGCTTGGATACTCCACTGCAAAGTTTTCATATGAATCTGCGTGCAAACGTCTATTTCTTCCAACGAATGAACAATTGCTAAACGAATGAATAATTTCTTTCCTTTCAAATAACATTATTGATCAAAATTTCGAAGTTTGTTTAAACTTTTTTTAAACATGACATATCCGAACTAAATTTCCTAATTAAAAAGAAAATCATATAGTCAATACAGTAATAGAGAAATTAAAATTCATGTCAAGGTAAACATTGTAATCCTCCAAAGTGCTTCGTGGAAAAAATTTCGTTAAATATCGTCGTTATTACAAACGATACGGGGGTAAAGTGTATTCGCGTCGAATTCTACAGTCGGAGTTGAAAAAAGAAGCAATGAAGTTCAGTTTTCGTCTGAAACTTTTTCCAACTGCGACTTATTAAAACGGAAGAAAAAACCAAATTGTTCTTGTGTACCGATGAAAAAGTAACTCGCTGAGTTTTTACGCCGCTCATAATGAGAGGAAAAATAATGAAAATAATGCATACTTCACATTGCATTTTTGCTACTTGTAAAGCTACAGAGTAAATATGCAGGGTGTTCCGTAATATATACCATTTCGCTGATGGATTTTGAATTTAAAATTAATTAAATGAGCTAAAGAACCGCGTATTCTATTTCAATTTTTTTTATGAATTCGAGTTTTGAATCAAAACTGACAATTAGTCTTTATTTATTTATTATATCGACACGTATATTTTTTAGTTGATGCAATAAATTAATTATGTATACTTTACAAAATTCCCGTGGCTTGCAAATAAATATGTAAATTGTAAAATTTTCAATCGATGTGTCGAATAGTTTTCTCTCAATAGTTTTCTTCGTTTAATTTTTAGGGTCAAGTTTTAGGGCGCGCGTATTACGGAGGACACTGTATATAGATTTAGATAAATCTATTCCTGACCTACTATCGCGCACGACACTTTAAGAAACACTGTTCCTTGTAAAGATGGACCGTTGATTCCCATCGTTACCATTTTAGATCGTGAGATCGAGGCCTCGTTCGTATTCAAACCGTAATTTGTTCGTCGTTAATGAATCTTTTCTCGCTCGTTCGAGCGCAAATGGATTAATTAATTCGGTGTCTCGTTAGGCTTGGCGCGAATATCTTGGTGATCTTAGACTAGGAAAAAAGAATTTTTAGATGTTAGAAAAATATTAAAACAGTTGAAAATTAAAGTTGCTTTGTTAAAAAATTGTGCAATAAAATTGAAAATATAACGATCGTTATTTGCTAACGCTATTAAATGTTCGTTAATTTTAATTCATGAGCCTCGAATTTATTTTCCCAGTTGCATATTTCGTATATATAAATACTGTTATTCCAATTTTAGGTCCACTTAAATTTTTGTGCAAAGTTCAGTGACACGTCTATTTGTTTTGTTTATAATTGTAAGTAATCCCGTTGACAGCTCTTCAAAAGTAAAAGTTTCTTACTTTCTTAATGTTCGTTTTTTCCTGCTCTTCACATCGCTGGTTCTAATTGTTTTCACGCCATGAACGCATACAGTCAGTTACAAAAATCTACACGCCTCGCGTGAATTTGTAACATTATAGAAATAACGAGAATTTCAATACTCTTATGAATACTTAATTGGCAAAATTATTCTGAGAAAATAAAAATATGAATTTTAAGTTGAAAACTACAAAGTGATCGGTTTCTTTTACTCGATATATCTTTGACAAGAAAGGCGACTAAAATCTTCAGAATACACTATGACTTTACATTTCGATATATCGAAGCAGTGGAGGATCTTTGGTCACGGGCGTAAAGTGTAGTTAGCTCCGTCGCTCGGGAATCTCGAGGATCCTTTTTCATGCCCGAATTAACGAGGACATTCAAGAAGGGAGGAAGGCAAGAAGGACTGGAATGCAGTCGGCAATGCACTGTCGCATAAATCGACGAAGCTACTTAAACGCGCATACACTGTTGTATATAGTGTTGAGACCAGTTTGCAGTGCACCGAAGACGAATCGTTCCATGAAACTTCCATTATAGACGTCAGAATTTTCGAACACTGTTTTGTTTCCAGAATAAGAATTTTTTTTCGTCCATGATATACTTCTTGGAATAATTATCATTCAAATCTCTTAATAACGAGTGGGATAACAAACGGAAGTAATAAAGTATTGGAAACAATTCGTTACTTAAAATTGTTACAAGTTATTTCGCTTCGAATAGAATGTGTTCGAGCCTACTGCTTAAACGTCTGGTCGGTTTACAATTACCGTAATCGCAGCTGTTTGTTTGGAATATGCCTGCACGTGAACGACACAGGGTGTTTCGGACTTATGGTCATCGATGTACGTCCAGCGATATGCTTGTGTCCGCGCCATAGCTCCGTCGAACCGATGGAAGTGCGGAAACGTGCAAAAAGCCGGTCGACCTTGTCCCACTTCCGTCGAAGCTTTGGGGAACGAGCTTACTTGTGTAAATGATACACAACACATGCAGCAGCCGCGGCCTGTGGCGCGTAGTCGAACCGTTTCGTTATGTAATCGTTTCGTTGTACACACTGGGTGTTTCGGAAACGCGAGCAACGCAGAAGCTGTTTTGACGTTGGGATTAGAAAAGGAAATCTCGCGATTATTTCGAGGAGATAGTTTGAAATGATTGATCTTTTTCCCCCAAGTCTGGTTCTATGATGTTGCAGGTCGAAAGAAAAATCAATCCTGGTAGACATTGTGTTATCAAGTCAGGACCTTGACCTAACCCAGACTTCGAAAGTTCGGGAAATATTTTGTTTTCCAAAAATGACATTTCGTCCTAGATTGCTGAAGAGGTCGAAGGAGACTGTTTCACGATGATTGGTTTTTCTTTTCCTGCTTCAGGACTAATGAACTTGAGAGTAGAATTTTTAAGTTCCATTGTGTCAGATTCATAATTTATCACAGTTGTAAGAAATATTACAAAAGTTTTGTTTTTTTTTTAAATGGTGTCTATCCTAACTTGCTGTAAATTCTTGACAAAATTAATTATGTTTTATTTCTTTTTTTTTTGTTATGAGAACGAATTTAACTAAATATATAATAGAGTTCAAACTGTAGAAGATAGAAGAAAATTATATTAGGGGAAAAAATAGAATGGTTTCGAGTGTTGCATCACGTGGCACATGTGTTTTTTCATAAGTGGAGGATTTTCAATGATTTCTAGGTCACCTCTATTTTTTTAAACGAAACTATATATATTTTTATAACTAATCGGAGCAGCCAATCATATAGACTACTATAGAAAGTTTAAAAAAGGTTTTGTACATCAAATTTTAAATTGTG